TGCTGGTGCAAAAAAGTTTGCACTGTGCGAGCGCCAGAAGTCTGAGTCCTTATCTAACTTCCCAAAAAAAACCCGACCTAATTCCTAAACCCTAAAGCCTAAACCCTAAACTGTACTATGCTATCCCTCATAACCATACCCTGAACCCGAAGCTGTATGCCCTCAGCCCTACATTCTACCGAGGCTCCTTCAACCTCGAGCTCCTCCGGCGCCCTCCTGAGAAATCTGAGCCTTTCTTTCCTTTTTGGGATGCCGAGCTCCGGCTCAGGACTTCGGGGTTCTCTGGGGGTGTCGATTCTGGGTTTCAGGGTTTAGGGTTTAGGGTTTCGGGGTTATGGGTTTAGGGTTTCGGGGTTTAGGGTTTAGGGGTTGTCCTGCAAGGCAAGCAGTTCCTGTGACTCCAGGCCCAAAACAATTTTCCAGCTGCCCGCTGTTGCGGAAAGCATCGATCTTTTCGGCCAGCAAGGAGGACACCCAGGTTACGCCGACGCAAAGCCGATGGAGCGTTTCAGAACCGTTCATCCCTCCCTAAACCCTAAACCCTAAACCCTAAACCCTAACTATCATTGTTCCTCTACTTTAAGCCCTAAACCCTAAACCGTGTCAATGATTGCTGGAATTTTTGTTAAGCCCCAAGGCCAGCCTTCACCCAATTGAAACTAAACCTGAAAACCCCAGACCCTAGACCTTCTAGACTTGTGGAGTCCCCCGAAGGAAACCCTTAAGGGATCCCTTAAAGGAAGCCTTTAAGGATCCCAGAAAGGACTCCTTAAGGGATCTCTTAACTCAAAGCCCCTCTTGGTCTTTGATTGCTTTGATGCGAGGCTCTGAGTCCTACTCTGACGAGTCCGAGGAGGCAGGGCTCTGCATCCGGGTTTAAGGTTTGAGGCTCTAGCGACATCTAGCTAGCACTACTGCCACTATTGCTGCTACTGCGACTACTACTACTACTACTACTACTACTACCACCTTTGTTGCAATGTATTCAAAGTCGTAGTGTCTCCCAGCCTACACACCGTCTCCGACCAGCAGCTTTTCCCGTCTTTTCCCGAAGGGCCCCAAGCCTCGAGCATAGCTTAGCGTGGTCTGGCCAGGAGCCGAGCAAGCCTTCCGCACCAGGCACGATGACCTGGGAAGATAGTTTGGGGGGGGGTTGTCCACCTGCAGGGTCCGGTTTGAGGATCGGTCGACGTTGAGAAGTCAGACTGCAATGTCTGTTTCTGAGATGTTACACCCTAAACCACTAAATCCTAGGCCCTTAGGCCTTTAGGTTGCGTGTGCGGTTCATGTCCTGCAATCTGATTGGAGCTGCCGGCACATCTGAAGGAGGCTGGCCACAGGCTGGCGGCGACGCCGGAGGCCTGCGGCAGCCTGCGGCAAGTCTGAGTTTAAGTTCCGGGCCACAGGTGCAGCTCAGATGTTGGCCCTTTTTCGGTTTCCGCAACACTTGAGGAGGCTCTCCATCGAACTTCTCATGCGCCTTTTTTTTTTTTCTCCTTTGGCTCATGAGTCTACAACCACGACGAACACATACAAGGTACATTCAAGTACATGTACCAGCACAGGCTCCGCTAGATTCTTGAACAGATGACTATGGCTGCAAGAGTCGTTGAAGGTGTTTGGCTGGCTGGGCTGTGCACTTCGGCACAAAATCATGAGACTCAACGTGTCAACTGCAGATTGTGCCGCATTTCGGCAGCCGCAATCCTATGTCGAGAACAGAACACGGGCTTGGCTTGCTTAAGTGTCTTCCGAAATCTTCCCATGTCCTACATCGCAGGTAGTGGTTATCAGCGCTGGGCAAGTATGCAAGCACTTGTTGGATATAATGAGGATAGCGATCTGTTGTGTGTTGGGGCCCAACATTGCACTGTGCAAGGCTGGCCGAGCAACGCCTCCGGAGGCGACCTGGAAACGTTGAGCCCCGATCGGCACGCGCACGCACGCACACGCACACGCACGCACACACACACACACACACACACACACGTAGTAGTAGTAGTAGTAGTAGTAGTAGTAGTAGTAGTAGTAGTAGTAGTAGTAGTAGTGGCAGTAGCAGTAGCAGT